CCAGACAGAAGACATAGACAGACAGATTATATCCATTAATTTCTATGGGGAATACTCTAATCCCAACATAACGACCTTAACCCCTGTCCAGCCCCAACCTTAACAATAAGCAGTTAAAACATCAAAAAAAGTCAAAATTTCAAAAAAGCAGGGATAAAATGTCCTCCACAATGTAATATAAACCTAATCCACACACACACAGACAGACAGACATAAAATACACAAGCAAATGTAATATTACCTGAGGATTAAATGCTATTAATAACATAAACCAGCATTTAAAATGGTGATTGATAAACTCCTCTTGATTTTAATAGAATTATAATAAATTGTAATGAAACCTAAAAGGCTAATTGGTGCATCAAGGTACCGAGTCTCAGCTTAGATACAAATGGATTCTCTGCTGAAGTGGCTGCAGTGCTGTGCAGTGCTGCAGTGCTGTGCAGTGCTGCAGTGCTGTGCAGTGCTGCAGTGCTGTGCAGTGCTGCAGTGCTGTGCAGTGCTGCAGCACATTTCTCCCCTGATAAGAAGTAAATGATTTTTTTTTATATAGACCACTAAACAAAAACAAAAATGCCTCACATAGACCAGTCATTCATTCATTTGTAACCAGCATAGTGTTCCTCTGATGTGAACATTGCTATGGGTTACATACATTAACCGGAACATTCAAGGCAAGGCAAAAGGGGCAATGCTGCCTGATTATAATGTGACAAAGAAAACTGCATGAAATGGTACAAAAGTAGTGACAATTCTACTGTGATGAGCCTGGCACTAGGTGTGCGGTTAAAGAAGACAAATCAACACCCTTCCACCAAACAGATTTGAGATTTCAACAGCAGTGCCATAGTGCAACAGCATGATAATCAACATCTCAAAGCCGCTCAAAGTCATCGCGTTTCTTTTGGGAGGTAAAGCAAATCTACAGAACTCTCTTCAAAGATACGCTTGGATCCAAAACCCCCTCAGGAGGATGAGACTGACTCCACACCAACATCAGGCAGGACTATAATATTCATTATATTAACATTGGTTAGTATAATTCAATATATTAACCAGTGGGTCGCCTTTTGTTATTTGGACTTTTTCCAGAAACTTGCAGTTAGGTCTCTAAAATGCCTTCAGCATGTGAATGTGATCCCATTCAGATGCCCCTTGACCTGTACACTGTGTTTCATAGGACAGAAACCAGGCTCACTGAGACTCTGTACTTATAAGTACTTACAGGCGATGGAGGGATTAATATGGAACATTACCATGTGTTGCAATTTACAGAAAAAAAGTTTCTGATGAGCCAATAAGCTACTGGAATAAGTTAAACCCGGGGCTGCTACACAATAACTAACATGTGTGTCCAAAAATCCATTATTTCAGGTGATATAAAGTAACCGAAACAAACAGTCATGAAGGAGAGTGACAGACGCTTTCCCAGTTAAAATGCTGGGCTGACTTTGAAGAACAAGACATTGCACATCATCAACAGCCACGCAAGCATGACAAAGTAGCCTGAAGTAGCTGAAGTTTTAAAACACATCAGTGCTGCTTTCTGAAGGCCTGAAAGTAACCTTTGTCAGTTAAATGAATTACTCCCTTAAATGGTGTTTGGCTATCTGTATGGACAAATATGAACTCGAATACCAAATGCAGCAGTATCAAAATATAAAAATTAAAAAGACCAGGTACAAAATACTTGGTCTTTTTAATCTATTTAAAAGCTGATATGGGTGCACTAACATGACAAATTGGACAGACAGGATAGTAGGAGAGAGTAAGGACAGGGGAGTCCCATCCCCACAGACAGACAGGATAGTATGAGAGAGCAAGGAGGGGAGAGTCCCTACCCCACAGACCGACAGGACAGTATGAGAGAGCAAGGACAGGAGAGTCCCTACCCCACAGACCGACAGGACAGTATGAGAGAGCAAGGACAGGAGAGTCCCTACCCCACAGACCGACAGGACAGTATGAGACAGCAAGGACAGGGGAGTCCCTACCTCAAAGACAGACAGATAGTGGGAGACTTTAATACAAGCACCACAAGTCACATGTCATGTGGCCATGCTCCTCACTACTTAAGGCTTTTGTTGGTGATCAACAACCCCCACCCATCATCTAATATGGCATACTAGTTCTACTCTTTATGAAAAGACAGATGTCTGCCCCTGAATGTTGTTATAAAGATGGTAAGAACTTCAGATTAGTTAAAATGGCAAAACATATTCTATAAAAGTGGTAAAATGTATATATTTTTTATCAGAAACTAAGAAAAACTAATGAAAATGCATTAAATGATTTTAAAACAAATGCTGTACATAGCTGTAACTTTTTCGATGCATAAGGACAATTCACATCCTTGTCACTTACTCGTTCTATTCCCATGAACCCTTCCTTTTGAAGTCGGGCAGAACATATATGAGGTATTTATTACACACATGTGTAGTAATCTCAACAGTCCATTAAACTATAAGTAATGTTTCTAAAAATGTAAGACAAGACAGGATCCGAACATTACTGTAAAGCTGTATCATCCCATAGCATGCAGTGGGGCATTCTTTGGTCAATTTGTGTTTCATGTGAGATCAGACTGTGCTTACCTTTATCTCAAACCATAAACCAATCCCTTGCTTAATAAATTCACTGGAGCTTAAACTTAACGTTTAAGGTAATGCGGTTCAATCTGGTCGACCTAAGCTAATCTTTCTCGCCTGTGTGGTTTTTGCGAGCACTCTGTTAATCTGCTCTCGGTTGACCAGGCTGAGACTGCCTCACGGTGCAGGTCCAGGCCGGAGACGCCTTCTCACTTAGGTAATGCAGACACTGAGGAATTCGCTTAAGCGCATCCAGGATTACAGGCACTCCTGTGTCACTTTCAGTGTGTTGCATGTGTTACAATAGCTTCTCTGAAAAGTGAGAAGAGGCCTAAGGAATCATGTGCGAGGAGGGCAGACCAAGCTCGCCACCCTTCAGAATCTATTACTTTTTGCATAGTACAAATGCAAAGATGAAGATGTAACAATAAAGAATGTGTGTATACTTTAGAGCAGGGTTATCCAACTCACGGTCCTCGAGGTCCGAGCACTGCTGGTTTTCCAGCCTTCCTTTACCTGTCAGTCAGGTGTGAAGCCTCTGACCAATCAGAGTCAGTGATTATTAAACAACTACCTGGGAGAACTGAAAACACGGCCTGGATTTGGAATCGAGGTCCAGAGTTGAAGAGCCCTGCTTTAGAGTGTGCATGGAATATAAGAAGCAGCCCCCGACTTATTATTTGGCAAGTTTAATCGAGGTAAATATCAAACTTAAAAAGTGCAAAGAAATAAGAAAAAATAAGCCACAAATAGACGATGATAAACACTAACTATTTCACATTGCCAAAACTAATATTTCTAATTCGGTAACAAATCAAAAGAGCTGTCTAGAACTACATATCAATGTAATAAAATATCCAAGAAACTATCATATACTTTCAGTGACATATTCTCCAGATCTGTATTTGATCTTGAGTTTCCTCCAGGTATTCTGGCTTCCTGTGACAATCTCATGGAGTGAAATATGATCAGTGCGATAAATAACTAAACCTGCAGTTAATACACGTGGTAAGAAGAGAGGTGTAAATACATGATTCATATGAATAACCTAAGCAGCTTACAAAATTAGATCCATCGATCTTTCCATTTCCCACAATACAGTACAAGGCCACAGTCAAAAAATAATACATATTCGTAAATTATTCATATTCATGTCATTCTAGATACTGTAACTTTCAGTTAAATAGTAGCGCAAAGGCCTATAGATTGTTGGGAAATTAAATATTCAATTCAATTTGTAAGAAATTTTGTGATCACAAAACATTAAAAACATAATAGGCTATAGTATAATATAATATAATTTTCTATATGCAGAAAGTTTCTCAAAACCTCCACTGTTCCCAATCACTCATCAATAGGAAACTTTTATGGGGCTAAGTACACAAACTGAAAGTTACAACAACCTGCAATTCAGCAGGAAATCGGAAGCATCCTCCACATGTCTGCAAATTCCAGCCTTTCTGCACTTTTTCTGCACAGCCTGCACAAAGCATACCATCATATGTTCTCACCTGGGAGCAAACACATTCCAACTATGCCAGCCAGTCCATCCTTTTCTCTGAATGAAAATCACCAAGCTGGTGACTAGCAGAAATGCCCCACCTTCCCCCACCCCTACCTGCCCACATGCATGTTTAACACTCAAGGGAACATTAATCTTCACAGAGGACAAATCAAATCCAGTCAGATCAAATCAAATCAAATTTTCCTTCATCTATATCTATCACCTACTTATTTGCCTATAGAACTCTTGCATTCTTCATTGTGCCAGTTCATTAAACAATCTGCAAACAACCAAAAAAAAAAAGGTCCTTGCATTCACAATGTAACTCTTACCAATAGTTGACAGCCTGGTGTGTTCTCAAACCTGTGATACCTATAATAATAATCAACGATGTCACTTAAAGCACAGATATAATAAACGTCTGTGGTCTCCCAAGCTAACAAGGCAGCAAAGCTACGAAAAGACGTCACTGTAGCTCGGGAAATAGGATTAAAGATGCCTAATTCCAAATGGCTGGAAACACAGCATGTATTAAAGAGAAATTCTTTCAGAAAAAGATAATCCCCATATGAATTTTTAACAAACTTCACTCTTTATGACTAGTTTTTTGTTCTTTTTTTTGCTTTTAGTTGTGCGATTTTCTGGCAACGCCATTGAACCGAATCACAAAATTCACCTTCAACTTCAAAGCACTTTTAAAATAAAAAATAAAAAACACTGGAAATGTTACACAATTTACACATAACTGACCAATGTAGTAGCCCAGGCAGGCAGGCTAACTGAGACATCCCAGAATTCAGTTCCAGATAGAAGCCTGGGAAAGTGCACCAAACCATGAGGTTGGGGGTACGACACAGCGGGCCCAGCATTGGAAGGCGGGCCAGTGGTGTTGAGGGGGGGGGGCTTACCCTGAGTACTTCCACAGGCACCTGCGAGGCAGGAGGGAGGCCGGGCGGCGCGCTGACGTTGATGGCCGGGCTCTGGGTGCCGCCGGCTGGCGGTGGGAACGGCGAGGTCTGCCGCCGCTGCTGTCTCAGCTGCTCACGGTGCTCCTGCTCCTGCAGCTGCTCTCGCATCAGCTGCTGCCGGAGCAGGATGCGGGACGTCATGGCAGAGGAGCTCAGCGGCGGCTTGGCAGATCCATGCCGCTCGGGGGGGTTACTGCGGGCGCGGCCGTCGGCAGGGCCGCGGGGGGGGGCGAGAGGAACGCTCCATTAGAACACAAACAGCAGCTTCTGCTGGCTCTCTGAATTATAGACATTTGAAGGCTTAGCAACAGGGGGGGGGAAATCACCAAATGTAACAGAAATGATAAGGAGGAAATCCAAGCACAGAGCAAAGGAGTGTGAGGGTTTGGAGTGTGACTCTCCTACACACGTTTCCTGTCCAACAGAATCCCAGATTTAGGGTTTTTTTCCAGAATCCCCCCCCCCCAAAGGCTGGAGCGGCTTAAGGGCTGCAGCCACACAGCTGATCCTTTCTGATGAGCCTGCACTCCGGCTTGCACTGATGCATAATAATCGCACTAATTAGCTGGCTGAGTCGCAGAAAAATGCCGAGCATTCAGGACTGCATGTGTAATAAACTCAGGCTTGCTTAATAAAAGCAGCACGTCCCCATCCTGGCAGAGGAGAGAACGTCAGCTTCAGTTTTACGACATACTCTGATGCCTCTTTTGACTAAGCCGTGAATCATCATCAAAATTACACCCCTTAGTAAACTACAACTGCCTTTCCCAGCTTTGAAAAAATGCATATTTACAACAATTTCATTGTTTTAAATTTGAGTGGCCATTATTTAATTGAAAATTGCTCAGTAATACTGGCCAAAAATAACACATAAACATTGTCATTGTTTTCACTGTTGCTATTATTAAATCCAGCTGGAAAATAAACCAAGTGTAATAATTTTATTAGCTGATGCTAAATACATCTTCAGCTGGATTGAAAATTAGTGTACATCATGCTATTTAATTTACAAATTCCAATGCATACACGACACTAATTTAGATACTGTTACAGATGGGCATGGTGAAGGATGGACGATCCATGTTTTGGCTGACAAAATGGGACTTTATTAAACTCAGAAAGCACAGTAGAAGTCAAGAGGTCCGCGAGGGGCAAAAAAAACAGCAAACCAACAATATAAAGGCAGGAAGCCGCAGAGAAATTACCATAGCAGAATAGCAGCAAAAATGATGACCACATAAGGGGCAGGTGCGGACCCGAACAATTAACCAAACACTAGGGTTGGGAACAAGACAAGGGTAAGGATTATAATAAATACTTAAGGGTTCAAACACTAGGAGAAACCAGGATAAGAACTGTGGCACAAGGAATAAAACAAAGGTACAGAATAAGAGAACATGCCAAAATACACAAATGCACAACAGGAATAAAACAACAAACATGGTGAGTCTTGTGGGTTTGAGATAAAAGGGTAGTCTGGACAACAGCCGACCGCTTAGCACATTAAGCCACACGGCGGCCATGGGGACAGGGAAACACTAGAAGCTAAAGACCAGCGACACCTGCTGGCTAAACAGGGAACAAACATACCGAAGGGGCAGGACACGGACCGATCAAACAGACACAATGACCACACAGCTATCAATACTGTATTCTACAGAATTAAGAAGTTTAGCTGGTGTGACTAATTTATTTGTATTTCAGCTACTGCCATAGCAACCTTGGAAAACTGATCAAAAGCACACTCAATGTCATTCCAAAATGCCAATAATTTAAAATTCAGAAATTGTAAAGCAGATTTTGAACATATAGAACAATAGACAAACTGACCTTATTAACATTAAGAGCAATATCTGAAGACACTATATATAGTATGCCCTTAATATTGTTTGATGGAAACAATTCACAATCAAACTGAATACATCATAGTATCATAAAACCCATATATCCTATGAAGTTGAATACAAATAGAGGTAACAACTCTGCGTGGGCAGCATGGTGGCTCACACTACCAGTGTTGGGGGTTTGAATCCCACCTTCCACTCTGCGTGGGCAGCATGGTGGCTCACACTACCAGGGTTGGGGGTTTGAATCCCACCTTCCACTCTGCGTGGGCAGCATGGTGGCTCACACTACCAGGGTTGGGGGTTTGAATCCCACCTTCCACTCTGCCTGGGTGGCATGGTGGCTCACACTACCAGGGTTGGGGGGTTTGAAGCCCCCCTTCCACTCTGCCTGGGTGGCATGGTGTCTCACACTACCAGGGTTGGGGGTTTGAATCCCACCTTCCACTCTGTGTGGGTGGCATGGTGGCTCACACTACCAGGGTTGGGGGTTTGAATCCCACCTTCCACTCTGTGTGGATGACATGGTGGATCACACTACCAGGGTTGGGGGTTTGAATCCCACTTTCCATGCTGCATGGGTGGAGATTGCCTGGGTTGCTGTTTTAATGTTACCCATAGCGGGTATATGCATTATTAACCAAACAACAAAGAAGGGGAACATAAGAAACAAATATCATTTCAATGAACTGCCAGACTGATAACTTCATTAAAAAAGTAAATCTAATATTCTCATTCTCTGCATAGAATAATGTTCTGTTAAAAGAATGAAAAGAACTTCCCCATAACACAGTGCTACAAATCAGGAGGCACAGGGCAGCAGGCTGGAGATACCCGAAAATAAGTATTTATATAGTTATACAAAATACAAAAAAAGATTTAAATAGGTTGTACCTGAATTCTAATTATCGAGTTTGATCATTCCTCTAAAGGAGAAAATGTAAATTAAAATTTAAAGAGGAAATAAAATACTAACAGTGTATACTAACTAAAGATTACAGTGTCATAAGTGGGTTAATTTCTCTCTGGAAGCTCATACTTGGCTGTATGATGCCCAAAGCCTGGACCAGTGGCTTATCACAGCGGAGTCTGATAGAGCCCACACAGCGCCCTCTACAGGCCTCCTGCAGAACCACTGTAAACTAACGAGAAAGAAAAATCTTTATCGCGGGACTGGAGTAATTTTCCACTTCTGAGTATGTGGCTGTAACACACCTCCTCGGCCTGCCCTGTATGTTTATAAACACAATGTCAGCACAGTGCTGCATGGCCACTCCCACCACCCCAGCCCCCAGATGCGGCCACCAATCGATGAGCGGCTCCACCCCGCACCTAGGAGAGCCGGAGCACAAAGCACAAAGCGAGAGAGCTGAGCCCTGTGTTTTGGAATGGACAAGAACTCAGCATTCATCTGCCCACAAGCATGACAAGTCACCCACAGTGTGGCGCACTGCATGACTTAAACACAGGACCAGTGCAGATGGCAAATTACAAATAACAAACAATCAGCTATCATTTTAACCTCTAATCAGTGTCTGCAGTACTGCCAAGTCAATCAAACGCAAACTTAATTGATTAAAACCTATTCTGTCTGACACTGACTAAATAACGAAGTACATATGGCTCAGATGCAGTTAGCGTTAGCATTTCCTGGGGAAACTTTCTAGAGTTCAGTGCATCTCCTGACTCCTGACCTCCTGGCTTCTGTCTGCTTAAGCTGCGGCGTCTCCGACGGCCTGCAGATCCGATGCTGCAGTGCCGTCCTTCCGTTCTCGCGTGCAGGGTCGCCCAGAAACTTTAACGGCAGACGCATCTGCGCGAGGCAGCCACATCCCGAAGGGCACGCAAGCATTGTCACAGCACTGTCCCCACATACAGACACACTATTTATAGCAATAGCTGCATCTACACGAGAGGGACGCCTACACACGCACACTCTTATACCTGCACGCATTTGCTCATGCACACACACGCACACACATGCTTCAAGCCCCGATCCAGGGGTTGGTGTCGGAACTCACGGGTAGCAGCTGTGGAAGGAGCAGGGCCTGTGCACTTGCACCATCAGAGCTTCCATCTTATCTTTCTGTGCGTGAAGGTGCACCGGCTGCCCTTGGAAGGCAGTGAAAGTCACGCTGGTGCAGCGGAGCTCTGTGTGTCAAGGGTGGGAGGCTCCAGGCAGCCCTGGCAACTCCAATCCCCACACAGCGAGGGAGGGGGGACAGCGACCACAAGGCGCAGGAGCGCAGCGCTCTGAGCGGCCGGCAGACCCGCTTAATCCAGCGCCTACCTGAGAGCTGCATTCAATGCTGTGTGCTAGCTTGTGTTCATACACACAAACACACCTTGCACTACTCTACTTGTTCCATTAAGGTTGTTTAAGCTAATGCAACATATTTTGGCCAAAAAACACATATTGTGAAAGATATATTCATAATACTCCTGCTTAATAATTTCATTTTTATTCCTCCCATTAGCATTTCTTCCCACTGTGAAGGATGAGTCTGTCTATCGGATCATAACAGTTTCCTTCCCACTTATCAGCTTTGCTGAATCATTGACGCTGGACGTTATATCTAAGCTCCACTCCACTGCCGCACGCGAGCTTTTAGCACTAAGGCCACGCATGAGGGTCTGGCTGTGCGTGCAGCTGCCAGTCAGCTTTTCCCCTGCCAGACATTTTCCAGGGTCAGTGCCAGACGGCCGTTCACAGGGAGCCTCGAAAGCGAAAGCAAGGCTGGTGGCAGGCTGCTACGCCAACCTAGCGTGATGCGTCCAACCGCTCGACCAACCTGGCCTGTCAAGGACAAGCCTTGTTGAGTTAACAAGAGCAGCTGTGGAAACAGAAACTTAAGCATAGGTTTACGGTCCAGGATCAAGGTGAGTGTTCGAAATAAATAAATGAAATAATGAAATAATATCCTGAATTACTGAAATTAAATAACATTACCTGTGCAGCTGTACAAGTGGTCTAAAAAAGTTGGATAAAGACATCAGCAAACAATGCTGATAATTATCACTGTCACAAGTGGTGCAAACATTATACTCTGAATAAAGCTAGTTGCACTCAAGATTTCTATTTCTATTATTTCTATCTATTAAAATCTGTCTGATATACACCCCAAAAAATATATTTTCTCTAAATTCCCAATGTAAGTGTATATGAGGACTTGCTATCATCTGGAGGCCCCTTCTCCTTGTGGCTTTTCTTTGGAACTTAGCAAACATAAAATCTGTTTGGATACAAAAAAAACCCAACAAAATCAAACAAACAAGCAAAAAATGCATCATAGTGTGTAACTTTATTTCTGCTTGATGCCCGATTGCGTTACTGCATTTTGAAGAATGCATATTTGTTTATAATGGATGTGCATATTTACTAACTCAGTCAACAGAAAAGCTCAGTATCAGAGCATTGTTTTCTCACAACTTGTTACAGATAATTAATACATCAAACCAGACCCAATTCAGTAACCATACTCGTCCACCAGAGGGGGCCTTTTCTCCTTAAATGTTCACCTTTATTATCACCTCTACTAACAGAGCAATTAGCCTCAGCAGGTTAGCAAAGCAAGCAGATTCTGGCATTTGACACAGCTTTCCGAAAGACACTAGCCAGTCTTCTGCAGATAGTACTGAGTGATCAGATCCAACAGCTCCTTTGTACATCACTGTAATTTAATTATTTTCAAAGGGTGACATTTGGTATTTTGCAGAATGTGTTTTAAATGATGCATTGAACAGATCTGTACTGCTCCTGTCTACAGTATGACAGTGAGCAAGTCTCTTTCCAAATCTGGCATAAGGTGATTTTGAAACAGAAATAGCTGCGACTTCACCTCAAAGCCGAGACATACAGACAGAGAGTCACCGCATCAGCAGGAAGTGGTGTAGCGAAGGAAACAGTGGCCTGTCTCACAAAACTGGTTCAACAAAGTCAGCTTGACTAAACCAGATAAATGCAATCCGAGATAAACGGCATCACGGTGCTCACTGCCAGTTATCTATGTCAATCCAGGTTTTCTCAATATTATCCTGAAACTTAACATGGGGCCCATGTCATGATGATGGATTCTTTGCTGAACCGGATAACTTTGAGGATAAGTAGTGGTAGCTCTGGCTTTTTGAAGTCATGCTAGAAGTCATGATTATCCAATAGGAATGCTCTATACCTGAACTATTATTGGACAATCAAGACATTTTAAATGGTCTTCATACTCTGGAGCAGAGCTCATACTTTAGTATGTATATACACAACTTATATAAATAGTGAATAGCACCTCCAAGGTAAGGAGTTCGTGTTCCACCTCAACTTTTTCTCTCTCTGGAGTTAGCCAGCTTCCACTGGCTTCCTGTTCAGCACGTTTCCCTGCCTAGTGCCCAATGCTGCCTGCCAGAGCTCCCCTGTGACCCTGACCAGGATAAGTGGTTACATGATGCACAGATGGATGGATGGATGGATGGATGGATGGATAAGTATTTAGTACTTGTGTATATGCAGCTATAATTACACACAACTGAAATTCCTGTTAAGCCTTTTGGTATTTATGCAGTTATAATTGTTCTTAAACTTATATTGATGTGTCATCGTTTGTGAACAGCCATTCAACCCATTTGATACTGGAAGAAAGAAACAACGGCTGTCTTATCCCCAACGACTTACTCTGTCTGTCTTCACAACAGAAATTTGGTGCTTTCATTTCCTTATTAAAAAGAGGTAAAAGCCGCTTTATGGAGTCGAAACACACAGACTCACTTGAGCCACTCACATCTAACAGAGAAGTTTCACACACAATGTAATTCTGCAGCACTCAGCAACAGCACAAGCTTTTTGCAGACGTGTCTCCTAATGAAATGACCAGAAACCCCCACTAAACACCCAGTTACTTATCAGCCTTTCCATTCATTTTGACATGATAAATTACTCAATCAGCCATTTTTTTTCAGCAAATAGGATTTAGCCTCCCTACCTTGTTATTTTCATTATTTGCAGTCTTTCTTGTAAATGATTCTGCGGTGACTCTGTGGCCAGAGTTAAAGGGATGAGTTTTAAGGTCTCAGTGAGCTACAGCTTCCGGGAGGTGATGAGTCTTTCCTCCCCCGCTCTCTCTCTCTCTGTCAATATCCCCTTTTTTAAAATCAAATTCTTTACAATCTAAAGCAAAAAAAAAATCCCGATTAAAGTCTGCAATCTAAAATATCATCATCCAGTGACAGACTTCAGAAATCAGTCACTTGAGACCTAATATCATGAGACATAGATATAACTGTTATTATTTGAAAAGGTGTCTATTAGATATACTACTATTGTGGTCAGGCACACTGGTCAGACTCTGATCACAGACTCATCAGTCACATCCACATCAGCAGTTTATCAGTACTGATCAAACATGGTCATTAATGCACACTGATCAATGAAACATCTGCCAGTAATCAACACTAGTAACTGACATGTTGACAACCAGCCAATGCCTTTCACTGGCACAGTTATCAACACTGTCTTTCAGTATTGTAAGTAAGGCAGCAGGCAATAATCAAGCACAGCATTCTTTAAAAGTTCAGCCGAGGAATTGTGAACTCATTCATCCAGTCGCCAATCACTATTGATCACCGTCGCATAAATCACTGGTCAAGACTATTCGCTAGCATATCAGCTAAACAATATCAAACAAGCAATACCTACATTTAAGCTGGCAACTAATCAGTAAACACTGTTACATTAGTAAAATCCTCAGCATTTCACATACCAGTATTTTAAGTGTCCTTGGGAGTGTTTTACACACTTTTTTTTTCAGAGGATAATTTTGTTGAAGAATCCTTGTGATTTTGACTCAGTGGTATGTGTTACATGAGCATATTTTTATAACGTAAAAGCTGGAAAAAATATCTTCATTATCTACAACAGCGTCATTGAAAACAGGAACAGCGAGGTGACTCAAGGGTTTGTAAGGACAGCCGGTCTCTAAAAATACATGCTGGCTTTACCCTCCTCTTGTGAAAGACATCCTTTGCAGTGATGCCTTCATCAGCTTCACATCTATCTCTTCCACATCGGCGTTTGAAATTAAGCAGAGATTCAGCCACACATAGCCCCAGTGAGCTAGACGAGCAGAACAAGCCTGGCCTTGAAGCTGCTTATCATCCCACATACAGTACAAGTAACGACAAAGCATGCAAACAGGAAACATTATTCCCGCAGCAAATGTGGAGGGGCTGCTGACAGAGCCTGGTTTCACATGTGGACTCAGCTTTCTGGTGAACCGCGAGAGGGCTGCATGAAGCCTCTCCCTGTTTTACCATCATCCCGATCCGCTTCTGCGATAACAACATGAAGCAAGAGGAGGCGTCCAAAGCCCCCAGCTGGTCGCTTTAGACGTTACGTCGTGAGTAAGTGTGCAGCAATGTGCTTGCACAATCGCGTCTCTCAAACATGCACCTGCCGATGTCGCTCCGCTCATATCTCTTTACTGGATTGAGCTCCAGGACACCACAAACCCACTGCTATCTCACAGCTAATAAAATACCATTTACATTGACAGACTAATAATGCTCTCAATTTGCAGTGATTAATGGGGCATACTGAGCCAAGCTGTCCTGATTTCAAGTTTTTTTTTTAATGGATGATACTGAAGAGTGTCTCAGTGTTAACTTCAATGCAAAAGGTATAACCTATGATTGCTTTCTTCCTTCAGTTACTTTCCAATGAATAGGGCCTAGTTGCATCCTGCAAAGATACTCAAGGTTCTCCAAATGAAACACTTCAGAAAGTGGAACATAAAGTTCACAATATTCAGAAAAAAAAGAAAACAGATAGTTTTCTGATTTTTTTAAAAATATGTATTTGACATGTCTTGGGGGGAAGAAGAACCAGTGTCTATTATTATTCCTTCAGATATTAATTTCAGATATACTTCACAGCCGTAACATTATCAAAAAAAAATTCAGCTGTGTGATTCCTACGGATTTGAACAACGCAATGTGTCGGCCCACACACTGACTGTGCAAACGGCACATTTACGGAAACTTGGTTATCTTTCCCTGAGATAATGCAGCGCAGGCCACTGAATTAAAAAAAAAAAAAGCCTGTTCACTCCCAGTTGCTGATACAGCCAAATTGACTCCTTGTGTATCATGTTTCACTGCCAGCCTTAATCTTTCCAACAGCTCAAACGAGGAACCTGGAGTAGCATAGCAGGGAATTAAACTTTTAAGATCAAATGGGGAATGAATACAACCTCTGGTATGACC